TTTGTGTCTCTGACTTAAAGTTGCCAGAACAGAATAACAGCTTGTGTGCCACATCCTCGTTCAGAGACAGGGCCTGGCCTGTGTCTGTTCATAAATACACATCCAGCTAATGCTGTCAAACTGTGAGTGCCATGTGTCCCTGAAGTCTCAAACTTTGCAACAGAGATTGATATATACACCAGGTTATTAAAAAAAACCAAAAACAGGCATGTTTCTTGACTTTAATATTTTTTAAATTACAGCAAGAGCAGTTAATCCATAACCGTCTGCTCCTTAAAGGAAAGAGGGTTTATGGAATTTGCAGTGTAGCTTTCTGACTTGAAAATAGTATTACTGTAATCTAAAGTAAGAGAGGCTTGAGCTGTGGGATTTGTATGTCAGTGCCCATGCCCTGCTGGTGGAAATTGGTTTGCAGTTTGATTAGGGATGGAAATCATGGGGCAATACCTGATTTCTGCATGTGGCTGGGGCATGTAGTGTACAACATGTTGCCTGTTTTTTCATTATTTATCAAGTTTTCATGAACCGAGTACACTTGGGTGTGTTAAATTCAGATGGAATGTCACAGTTAGGTGGTTCTGCTAAAACAGTTTCAGAAACTGTGAAATAGACTCAAGATTAAACTACATCTGATGGGGATGTGCTGGAGGAGCCACTGAAGTCAGTGGGAGGTTGCACCAGGAAAGTCTGTCAGAGCTAAAACAGTACAGAAAAAACCTTTAAAACACTACTACTAGTAGTAGTACTAAAACTATGTATGCCATGCAAAATATCTGCGTCACAGAAGCAGTGTTGGCAGTTTTTTTACTAATCTGGTGTGGCACTTAGTAGTTCAAAGCTACCATGTGCTTGCAGTTTTAGCAGGCTCCCAGGCCCAGGCTGCTGGAGCTGTGAAATCCAGCCCAGCCTACAGACCCTGCTCTAGAGCTGGCTGCTTTCTGCTCCTGCCTTTGCACTCCCAATTTTTCTTGATATATACAAAAGTACAAAATTGTAAGAGGAATCATCTTGCTTTTCTGTGCTGTCCTATGGAAGCAGCCCAGAGTGTGAGACAATTGGGTTTTTCAGCTGCAGTTTACTGAGGAATATTTTCCTTTATCCAATCCTATGCTGTTATGTGACAAGATGTTAATTAGCTCATTGTTTCAGCTTAATTTTGTGACAGTGCTATAATTATATCCCTCAATTGTACCATGGAGTAATTGCTGTATATGTTCCAAATTTTATATTGAGATATGTTATTGGTAAACTTTGAGTTTGGCAGAGGTGTTTTGAAAATACTGTAAGGAGTCAGTAATTTTGTGTTCCTTGATTTAAAAGACAGCCATTTGGCAATTTCAGGCTTTGAGACTGCCCTGTCAGTGTAAATAGAATATTGATTTTATTCCATTTCCTATCTCATTAGAGTCATTGTCATGAGGATGAATTCACGTTGTGTAATTATCTGTTCTTGCTGACAGTTCTCATGTCACTGAGACTGGTGTTTTCAGCTTCTACTTTCTCTAAGCATAAAAATAGCATTCTTCCCTGCCATCTCCTCCTTCAGGGTTGTGCTCCTTGCCTGCCCAGCCCGTGGAGAGGCGTGTGTGGATTGAGATAAACAGGGATGGCCAGCAAAGGCAGGCACAGATCAGTGACAGCAGTGCCTCTTTGGGAGCGATTCTCAGGGCAGGCAGTTAACTCATTTTTGTGTCAAAGACTGTAATGGGGGGGAAAACGCATTGTTAATCTGTCTGCACATTTCTTTATAGCAATAAGGGGCAGTAACAGGAGTCTTTTCTCTGTCAGATTCACTTTCTTGGACATTTCCAGATAACCTTTCCATTGATTTGTGAAGCTGTTTCTTAATCATTTTCATTGACCCAGCTCAGGAGACAACTAAGTCATCTCTGTTACCCTTCTAAGGAATGGCTTCTCAGTGTTATTTCTCTCTTCTGTCTCTTCTGAGAATCACTTTTTAATTTGCTTTCAATCCTTGTATCTTGATATTCAGTAAAGGCAAGGTTCTGCCTTGGCCTAACCAATGTTGCAATATTGGCAAATGATTCCAAATAATCTGGCAAATGCTTCCAAATTTCAAAAAGTGAACTTTAAAATCCACCTGTGGATCACAAGAGTCTTTAGTACTGACTGTTCTGCTAGGTGGGGTCTAGAAACTGTCAACCCTAAATCAGTTTTAATGAAGTGAAAAATAAAAAGTTCAGTTCTTTTCCTGCCCTGTCCCTACGGTTCTCCCTCTGGATTTGTTACAGTCCTATCGGCGGGGTTTTGTAGACAGTGTATCTTCCAGCATGTGGAGCTTACTGGGGACTCCTTAGTGACTGAATATCACAAGAGAATTTCCATGTGATGGGAAAACAGTTCATGCAGATAAAAAAGGATTATTCTATGCTAACATCTTCCTTTTTTTAGTGGGAATATTGAAGATAAACCTCTGGTCTGACATCAGCCTTTATTTCTGTTCAAAGGCTATTTTTAAAGCTGACATTTCTGGCTGTTTTCAGGTAGACAACAAACTGACAAAACACTTTTTCTTCAAGTAACTGTTTGTACAAAATACACATCTAGTATTTCTTTGTGTTCCAAAGATTTACCTTTGAGGCATCAGCTCCTTGGAGTAATGCTTTCCTTTTTGTGGCTGGCAGCCTGAAGAAGGAGGGGTGGAATTCAGGCTCATTTAGTGCAGTCACAAGTGTGTCACTGACCTCAGCAGGAGCAGGATTTCTCTCCAAGTGGGTGACTGTCCAAATCCTAACAAAACTTATTACAAACCTGGGAGTAAAACACAGTCTGGGGAGCCTTACCAGGAATATTTCTCCTTTGAGTACATGAGAGCACAAAAGCTAGATTTCATCTGTTTCATTTTGGTTGCTGCCTTCATCTCTCTTTCATTTCTTGTTAGGGGTGACTGCTTGTGTAATGAGAGTGAAATATCTTCTTTGGATGCGATGGCCTTTAACTTGCATTGGCTTTAGCATATAAAATGCATCAATTTGCTGCTCTAACTCTTCTTGGTGTTTGGAAAAATCAGTGCTTGGTATGGATTGGTTACCAAGCTGGTGAACAGGAGAAAACCTGCTTAGAGCTGTTCCACAGCTTTGTGGTAGAGCCCTTCTTGCTGGCATTGGCAGCACCATGTCCTGAGGCTCTCACAGGGAACAGATGCTCCTAACAAAGTAACTCAAGTCACTCTGTGCAGTGCAGGAGTGAGGTGGGAGGATGCAGATCCAGCTCTTGTCTGCGGAGGACAAGTTGCACTGCACCTTGACTGAAGGCTGGGAGATGTGTTGAGGTTTCCAAAAGCGCTCTGATGTGCTGGTATTCCTGCACGAGGCTGCAGGGATGCCTGGTGGATCTGGTGGACCCAGCAGCACATTCTCTGCTTTCAGATCTCTTGGTGCTAGTCTGTCATGGCTGGGAAGCGTGGCACAAGTGCACAAACCAAACTGGTTTGCCTGGACATTTGTTACAGAACAGGTTTTCAAGACCTAAGAATTCAATATCCCAAGCACTGAGGAGTAGTGACTGCTGGTGCAGGATGACCCTGACCTTCAGTTTTAGGCAATTGAAGCAAATGAGTATCTGTGTTTACTACACAGACGTGTAGTTGTTAACCTGTGCTTGCAAGTAATGATGTAGTTGTTTGTCTCTTGGTAGCAGGGATTAAAAACGTGGCATGATTTCAAGTGTCCTGGCAAAGAACTCACAGTGCCTGTTGTAATCTCATTAGCTCTGTTAGGTGTGTTTTCCTTCCCCTGGAGTTGGTTGTTCTGATCACTGTGTCCCTAGAAAAAGACTGTAGCTTTTTCTCATCTGTTGGTTTGCGTGCACGCTGAGAGTATCACTTCCCAGGGAGTGATTCTGGGGTCTGTGTCAGTGACCTGCATGGGAGGGGTGGGAAATAGGAAGATGGTGAAGCAGCATCTTTAGAAAGACGAGGATGGGAATAGTGTTCCCCATAGCACAGGCGGAGGATGCTGCGGGGTTGCAGTGCTGGCAGAATCCCCATCGCTGGTGTTGTCAGTGTGTCCCAGGCAGTGCCACGAGGGTCCCTGTGCTCCGTGCTCTGGGCACCGCGATCCTCAGAGGGGACAGGAGCCATAGTTCATTACAGGGGTTTGTGTTTGCAGGTGGCACCAGGCTTCTGCGGCAGAGCTGCGCATCTGGGGCAGAGCTGCGCATCTGGGGCAGAGCTGGGCATCGGGGTCGCGGCGGGAAGGGAAGCCCGTGCAGCCCGCCTGGGCAGCGAGGGCCCGGTTTGCGCTCCCGCCCGGTTTGCGCTCCCGCCCGGTTTGCCCTCCCGCCCGGTTTGTCCTCCGGCCCGGTTTGCCCTCCGGCCCGGTTTGCGCTCCTGCCCGCCGGGTTGGCGCTGGCCGGAGCTGCCGCCGCGCCGGGCCGGGGGCAGAGCGCTCCTCCCGGCGGGCAGGGCCGGTGTTCCCGAGCTGTCGGCGCGGCCCCGGTGCCGCTGGCCGTGTCCGAGCGGGCGGTCAGGCTCCGCCGGGGCCGAGCCGCTCCGGGGTCAGCGTGTCTTGGCTCGGTGCGCAGGGCGGGCGGGCCGACGGGGCGGTGCCGGTGCCGTTCCGCACGGCCGGGAGCGGCGGCGGGCGGTCAGGCCGAGCCGCGGGGAGGGCCGGTGCCGTTCCGGTGCCGTTCCCGGTGCCGTTCCGGTGCCGTTCCGGTGCCGTTCCCGGTGCCGTTCCGGTGCCGTTCCGGTGCCGTTCCCCGCCGGGCCGCACGCGCGGCCCCCGCCGGGCGCGCTCGGGGCAGCGCGGCGCGGCCGGCGTCTGACAGGCGCGACCTTTCATAAGACGGCCCCCGCCATTGGCTCCCTGCCCGGAGTGTCGCTGCAACGCTCGCCGCGATTGGCCCGCGGCGGAGCTGCCGCCCGGCCCCGCGCGGGGACGCGGCCCCGCCGCCCGCAGCCGTGAGTGCCCTGCGCGGGGCGGCGGCTCGCGGGGCGCCCGCGCCGCCCGCTCGTAACGTGTCTCTTCTCTCCACAGGTTGGTACTAAGAAGTGCCTTTCCTGACGTCGCTGCTGCTTGGGACCGCTTCTAGAGCAGCCGCTGCTTTTGCCTTGCTTGCTGCCAGCTAGACTGCGACGACAGCGCTCCGCCGCTGCCAGCCCCGCGCCCGCCGGGAGGAGGGTCCGGCGCCGCTCCCCCGCCGCCGCTGCACTGTGCACTAAAGTGTGCCGCGAAGGTCAGAGCTCTGCTGCCCGAAAGCCAAGAGAGGAGGAGAAAAACCCCAGCCTAAGCCCGGTGTCGGTCGTTGCTCTAAACTGCTGCATCTGTCTATGCCAAACTAATCGATCCCGATTGCACCGCAGAGCCCGCTGCGAGCCCGCTGCCTGGAGGCACCTGCCCGCCGCCGTCCCGGGAGCCGCCGGGGATCGCTGCCGGAGCCCGCCAGCTCCCCGCGCTTGCGGCGGCCGCGCACCGGACGGGATGCGGAGCGCGCGGGGCTAGTCCCGGCCCCGCTCCCGCAGCGCACCCGCCCCGGCCCGGCCCGGCCCTGCGAGCGCTAACGGTGCCGCGCTCGGACTCCGTGACACAGCTCCTCCTCGAGATTGCAGCCACCCAGCTTCACACGTACTCATTTTAAAATAGGGAGCGGGGGAAAAAAAAAGCGTTCTGGAGGTGGCACCTCCATAATTTCCAGTTTATCAGTTCAGCTACTCGTGTGCCCGTTTTTATTGGAAATTTTAACTACCTGTAAAATCTAAAGATGGCTGTTAGCGTCACACCGATCCGGGACACAAAATGGCTAACGCTGGAAGTGTGTAGGGAGTTCCAAAGGGGGACTTGCTCACGACCAGACACGGAATGTAAATTTGCACACCCGTCGAAAAGCTGCCAAGTTGAAAATGGACGCGTAATCGCCTGCTTTGACTCATTGAAAGTGAGTAAATATTACATTATTTTCAAGGATAAATGGTTAAGGAAAGAAGCAGTTGTAGCCAGAGAAATCCTGCAGCCGAACAGGAGCAAGTGCTGGCTGCCAGCAGTGGAGTGTTTTGCTGCTTTTATTTTATTGATGCTTGTTGATTTGTGTTGCTGCTTTCCTCAGGGGAAGGGGAAGGATATAGGGAACGAAGGGAAAATACGTCTGGCAGGGCTCAAATCCTCCAGCATGGCTACAGGGGCTCATTCTTTGCCTCCAAATTATTCCCTGCTTGTAGCTGGAATAAAGGGCACTTCACGTAGAAACAGCAAAGTCACTGTGAGGATTCTTTGTTTTTAATAGCACAAACCACGTAAGCAATATGAGGATTTGTTTCCATCTCGTAACTACCAGCGGGTTGTTGGTGTCTCTGGACAGCTGATGGTGAACCTTAGAAGAGTGTTTTCCTGCCTGATTTATTCAGGTGTCTGTGAGAACCCTGCTTGCCTTTCTGTGCTTGGCACTGGCGTGGTTATCCCATCTTTTTCCCAAGTGCACTGGCTTAAGGGAAGGACAGCACTTTACAGAAGGCAAGGTGCCTCTGGACGGGCAAGCATGGCAGGAGCACAGAGGGTTTTCAGGAGGCACATCCCAGCTAGGCACCATAAATACAGGGCTGTTGTTTCACTGTAGCTGCCGGGTCAGGTGTTAAATGTGCAGGTCCCAGCTCCTTCCCTCGGTTTTTCATGATTTAAGTAACCTAACATGTCAAATACTCATACCACAAACAGTACAGAATTAATCCAGTGGAGTCATGAAAAAATCAAAACTTGGGAAGCAGAAGTGTATTTGTCTGTCAGTTTATTCTCCAGTGTGATGTTCCCCTCCTGGGCCCGGGAAGCGGAGCTGGCTGCTGGCAGGCCGTGCTGGGAGGCAGCTGGAGCAGCTCCTGCAGCCCGAGGCTCACCAGGCCGGCGCGGCGCGAGCGGGGCGGGAAGTGGCATACGGCGGTCTCTGCAAATCCTCAACGTCCCGAGCCTCACAGCGTGTCTTGTCTCTGCTCAGGGCACGGGGTAAACAGTGCTCTCAGGCCTGAGATGCTCCTTCACCCCCAGCCATGGCTTCCCTTGCAGATACTGAAAGGATTTGTTTCTCTGTTGTTCGATTTATTTTTAAATACAGCAATTACAGTGCATGCAGGGTATTAATTTTACAATGTGGAAACAAGATGTTTTTATGCATTTAGCACATGCTGGAGGTAGGAGCAGAGCCAGGGCTGCCGGTGCCAGTGGGGAGTCCCAGCCCCGCGGTGTCACCACAAGGCCGTGGTGGCACCGCGTGTCAGCGCGGCCGTCGGCGGCTGCGCGGTGTCACCGTGGGGATGGCGGTGCTGCCAGAGCACAGGCCTGGCCCCAGAGCCTCTGACCCGTTGGTGAGCGAGGGGCTGTGACTGCCACCAGGCTTTGCTGGTGCAGCAGCACCCGCAGTGTCCCCGCGTTGGTTTCCCAGCAACGTGCGTCTGGCCACCGCGGCCTGACCCCGCCGGCCTGCTGCTTCTCATCGTGGCATCTGGCCGAAAGGCTGGAACGCAGCTGCTAGAGCGACCGGACACGATGTCAGTGGTCGCTGGAAGCGCCTTAAAATCTCGGTGCTGGAGCCGGGCGGCAGCGTGAGCTGGTGTCTGGAAGGGAGGATGGACTGCGGCCTGGCCTGCTTTCCCCAGCCCCGGCAGCGTGACTGGCCCTTCTGCTGCCGTCAGCAGGGCTCTTCACTTCCTTTTTTAATGCAGGAACTGAGGCTGACCTTTGCCAAGCGCTGCAAGGTCCGTGGGTGATAACCGTGGGTAACGTTACAGCCTTGCTGCGGATCCTCGGAAAGGAGTGTGCTGCTGTCCTGTGGAGTCAGCGCAGGGGCTGAGCCGGGAGCTGGGAAAGAATCTGCTGTTAAAAATACACTGCTGACCAGAGCTGTTTACTTGTGCTCACGCTGAAAGGTTTGCCAGTGGCTGAGCTGCTGTGTGCTGGAGAGGCTCCCGGGGATCCGGGGCAGGATCCCGCGGTGTCCCGGCGCCTGCGGCTGCCAGCGGTCCCCAGCCCCTGGGCAGGGTGGTTAGTTAAGCAGCTGTACCATGTACCAGAATACCTTGGGGAAGTAGGAAATGGAATATCCCCCTTTGGGGAATTCCCAGTCCCATCGCCATTGCTGAAGCCATTGCTCAGTTTTGGTTTTGTTTCAGCTCTGTGTCAGTTTTGGTGTGTGCTGAGCTCAACCAGCTCCAGTCATTGAGTTACCTTGCTGCAATGTCCCAAACATCAGATGTTCTGCAAAAGCAATTTAGGGAGATGCTGCACCAGCTCTGTCTGGACCTTATAGGGTCAGTCAATACTTCAGTACAGATTAAAAAAGATTTTTGGTTCGGATATTCAAAAGTAATTTTTAATTTTTCAGTAATTCAATATGTAATGTCCTTGTTCTTTACTAAAATAGCAGCACGCTGAAAAATTGACCTTAATGTTAAAATATTTGATTTCTTATTAATGTATATAATATTAGTATTAATTATACAGCTATTCTTGCATTATCTCTTGAACATAAGACAGATACTTAGTCACTGAATTTTTCTGTACAGACTCCTGCATCTTGGCAGGAGTTGAAACGAGGTGACCTTTAAGGTCCCTTGCAGCCCAGCCCGCTGTGTGATGCTGTGATGTGTCACTCCAAGACCTGGTGTGCCTTAGGAGCGGCTGCTGTGTGAGCTGACGTCAGGCAGGTGTGAGTGCTGCAGAGCTGCAGCCCCTGGGCAGGACTCCTGAGCTGGGCAGGCGGAGCAGGTCCTCGGAGGGGACCCTGTGCAGTGGCAGTGCCCTTCGGCGCTGGCCCCGGCCCAGGTGTCCTCTGCAGGGCAGGGACAGAGCCACCGAGCGCGCAGCCGCCACAGCAGGCTCCAGTGCCCTGCCTGCCCTGCCGGGAGGAGGCAAAAATAGAGGCCAGAAGTGAAACTTGCAGCTTGGGTAAAGCGCTTTTTTTAAAATCACCATTTCCCCTTCCTGTGAAATGAAGGCACAAACTCTGTGCAGGGCTAGAGCCAGAAAAGCAGTGCTGCCTCCCGAGGCTCCCTCCTGTGCTGTGTGGAGCAGTGGCACTGGGCTCTGGACACCTCTGTGAATGCAGACACGTCCTGTGGGCACACCTGCAGCTGCTCCTTACCTGCGAGCAGAACCAGCAGTGGCACTGGGCTCTGGACACCTCTCTGGCTGCAGACACGTCCTGTGGGCACACCTGCAGCTGCTCCTACCTGTGAGCAGAACCAGCAGTGGCACTGGGCTCTGGAATGTGGGTGCACCTGCAGCTGCTCCTTACCTGTGAGCAGAACCAGCAGTGGCACTGGGCTCTGGAATGTGGGTGCACCTGCAGCTGCTCCTTACCTGTGAGCAGAACCAGCAGTGGCACTGGGCTCTGGGCTCCTTACCTGCGAGCAGAACCAGCAGTGGCACTGGGCTCTGGACACCTCTCTGGTTGTCCTGTGGGCACACCTGCAGCTGCTCCTACCTGCGAGCAGAACCAGCAGTGGCACTGGGCTCTGGACACCTCTCTGGCTGCAGACACGTCCTGTGGGCGCACCTGCAGCTGCTCCTACCTGCGAGCAGAACCAGCAGCCGCTGGGCGAGCTAAAGGCAGCCAGGCCGTGCTGTGACCTCCGAGGTGCTGCAGGAGGTCGGGGCTGGGACAGCCCCAGCGCGGAGATGTTATCATCCCGCTGCCTAATTAGCGCTAATGGAACCTGCGGGGCTGGCCGAGGGCAGCCGTGAATCAAGATGAACGTGTGTGGGATAATCTGGCCCTTAGATATTAGGAGGATAATTTTAAACCAAGAATGATTATGTAGTGTATTCAAATTATGCGCTGGAGCGGCTGAGTCAGCTCCAGCTCTGGCTCTGCCTTGTTGAAATGCCGTAGGATTTTTTTCCTAAATTTGGATGCCTAAAAGCCTGTTAGACTGTCTACAGCAAAAATAATCTCGAGTTCCTAAATCAGGAAGCTGGTTTGCAACAGAAATTTGATTTTTACCATAATTTTGAAACATTTTTACTTCTTTCTTTTTCTTGGAAAAATAAGCCGAAGTAGAACTCGTTTTGAAATTACGTTAGCTTCGTCAGATGTTCCGATAGATGAGTCATCCGCGTTTCCTGAAAGCTGAGATAAAGATGCCTGAACAATGGGGAGATGGATGTCAAATGCAAATCTTGTGGGAGCTGCAGATGTGCCGAGGCCACCGTCACTGCAGCCAGGCTGCCACATGGCCACTGCCAGCCCTGTGCTGGGGAAAGTGTCACACAGCGGAGGGGCAGGGGGCTCGGCTGTCCCCAGCACTTTCTAATTGCTGTCCCAGTGCTGTCCCGGTGCTGTCCCCAGCACTATCCCAGCGCTGTCCCAGTGCTGTCCCAGCATTGTCTCGGTGCTATCCCAGTGCTGTCCCCAGTGCTGTCCCAGTTCTGTCCCCAGCACTATCCCAGCGCTGCCCCAGCGCTGTCCCGGTGCTGTCCCCAGCAGTGTCCCATTGCTGTCGCCAGTGCTGTCCCCGGCACTATCCCAGTGCTGTCCCAGTGCTGCCCCAGCGTTGTCTCGGCGCTATCCCAGTGCTGTCCCCAGCCACTATCCCCAGCGCTGCCCCAGCACTGCCCTGCTGTGCTTGGTGGGGCTGCTGTGTTCCCAAACCTGCTGCTTCCAAGTGATCTGACCCTCACGTGGCTTCGGTGGCCGTGGCAAACACGAGTCCCAGCCCATGGCTTGTTTTTGGAGATAACATGCGCCACAGGTGCTGCACTTCCAAGTCGGCTTTTGGTCTCTGAAGCTATGCTCCTGCTCAGGCAGCTCCTTCATGTTCAAGCTGGGTGTCCCAATGAAGTGTAAAAGCTTTTTCTGCTCTTTCTGTAACAGCTGGAAAGTCTTAAAACTTCCAAATTTCTCAGCCTTTTTTTTTTTTAATTATAAGAAAAAGCTGGAATCCAGAAGTGTAA